CCCCCCCCCCCCTCCAGCCAAAAAATAAAAATAAAAAATCCAACACCGCTCCCAGTGAACTTCGTGAACTCCGACCCGTCACGATTTCCATGACTGGTGACCTGAGGTCGTAACCGGCGGTACGGCACTGTTATTAGTACCTCAGGAAACAGACTTTTTGTAGGGAACACATCAGTCGAACGCATAACATCGTCAAACTCCCACAGCTTACGCTAGAATGTAGCGGTATCGATTCAGATCTTTTCTCCAGTGAAATGACGGACCCCCATTTTCATGGCTCCTGCGGGCAGCACGGTGTGGTGAGCAGACAAATGTACCAGTGGGGGTCGGTATTGATTGTAGCCAAGTGTGCAAGAATTGCTGCGTTCGTGTGGTGATGTAGGAGGCGTGTACTGAGTTGGACACACTACAGCCTTGCAGGGGCGGGGGCGGGTTGGATATCATGACAGGTATGGTTCCACTAAATTGAACACCGTGTCCTGGCTGTAGTGGTTAAAACCACCAGTACCCTTCCCATATATCCGCCACGGGCCCTTCACTGCGACTTTAGGGGGCCCAAAACGCGACACGGGCCACCTATGAAATTTATAAAAGGGGACCCGGCCCCAAAAGTTGCCCCTGTATACCACCACATAATATTTGTTTTTCAAGCAGGGAAAGTGCACTGGTGGCTTAAGTGCCTTGGCTCTGGAGGCCGAGGTCACTGGTTCGAATCCATGCAAGCAGGGACTCCGAGGAGGGGGCTTAGGCCCAGATGCATGCATCCATAACTAATCCATTGGAAATTAAAAAAATGTACAATTTTGGGAAAAAATGCTTCCCCTTCTAATGTAATGCCTGTTACTCAGGCTAGGAGTCTAGGACAGCCAAGCAATACCCCCTGATCAGGCTCTAACCCTGCAGGCTTGTAAGTTGTATGGTAAGGGGATGCACATATGTTGAAATGTGTGTAGTAAATTTGTAGATGTTGTATTTAAGGTATTTTAACAACAAGTTCCAAATAATGGGAACTACCCAATAATAAATAAGAAGGAAAAAAAAAAAACAAGAAAGAAATTACACTCAATAGAACAACTTTGTCCATTGGACCCTTTGTGTTTTGTTTCAAATGTGCAAACAGTGAATTAAACCACCAGTACTTCAGCGGCACTTTTCTCCGGGGGCGGGGCTGGAAATGCACTGCGCGCTGAAGGAGGACAAACGGGACATGCCCAACGGACAAACGGGACAAGCGCGGACTGCCTTTTGGCTGGCGCCACCAGCCATGTTGCTCATTGACAAACGGCTACCTTGCAACAATGGCTGGGAAACGGACTGATGGTTTTTAAAATACACCCTAAAGGCACTTTGACTCAGCTCCGGACGTGATTGCGGTCAGATGCATCCAGGTCGGGCCATAATTGTGGTGAGATACGTTTAGAAAATTGGTAATTATGTGAGTATGGGTCTCGTTAGACACTCCTAAAGGAATCCTCAAATTTTTAGGACGAGTCCTAAAGGATTTTTAGGATTGCCTGCGGCGTCGTTACACGCAATCCTAAAAATCACCATTTAGGACTCGTCCTAAAAGGTCTCCCAGGCCGGTTTTCATATGCGTATACGCAGCCGTGTCGCCGATGTCTGTCCATTGCTGGCTGGTGTCCATGGTACACACTGCGGTGGGCCGTCGGCGGGTGACGACAGGTCGGTGAAAAGCACGCGGGCCCAGAAGTTCAAAAATTTGAATTCGCGGAAAACCTCCGATGTTCGACCACTGACCCGACGGACCGCTTCTGCACCAGCAACTCTGTGTCGACGGTGCCATGCGCGCGATGCAATGAGTCCGTGAAATGCGGGAATCCTAAAATTTTCAGTAGGTTGGGGGCTACTGGAAAATTTAGGACGATTTTGCCTGGGGAATCCTAAATCCTTTAGGACTCGTCCGAACGCCGTTTTCACATTTTCTATCTCAAAATTGGATTTAGGAGTGCGTGCAACCAAGACGCAATCCAAAAAACAGGCACTTTTAGGAGTGTCTAACGAGACCCTATATGCACTAAACTTAGGTAAGTTCCCATTCTTTCTTTGTTGGCGGTTTTCTTAACTTGAGTCACACTTGCGCAGTGTCCTTGTTAGTGTTACACTGTTATCTTTACGATTCCATTTTATTTACTTATTTATTTTTCGGATTTTTTTTTACAAATCTTGTAGTACCATTCCTGTTTTAGTACCATTCCAATTTTTAGTACCATTCTATAACACCCCTCTCTCCCCCCCCCCCCCCCCCCCCCAAAGGAAAAAAAAGTACCATTCCAATTTAAGCAGATGTCCCATATTTTGATTTTTTTTGCTGTTCTAGTTGATCCTTTTTTTTTTTTTTTTTTTCTGAAAAACTCGCTTAGAAAACTTGAAAAAGGCTTCACATTTACAGCACATTCGTAGGCTGGTCCTGGAAAGCGGGTCCAGCATCCCATCCAAAATGCTGCCTTTCACAAAGACACCTGGATAAGAAACAGAAAAATAGCAGAACTAATGCTCAGTGATATGATCTAAATCCAAACCACAAACACATCTATACTTCTGCTATGACCGAAGCTCGTTGAAAATACCTGAATCTGAAAAAATCACTTAGAAGTTAGAAGTTGGAAAAGGATTCAAATTTACAGTACATTCATAAACTGTTGTCTACTTTCGTATTCCACGAGTGTCAAGGTCTGTAGTTACAACTCTACCACCTGCTCTAACTTACCTAAACGGGCCTACTACCGGCCTGTATACCAGCCAGAAGCCGGCTGGTTGGAACTTGCATTCCGAGTAACTGTGGCACTCTCCACCCTCCAGCCCACACAGTGCCTCCTGCGGCTCTAATGAAAAAGGCGGGGGGAACCGAGTGCCCTGGTTCCCCAAACTATCTGCCTACTGACTACACCTAACTATCTAGCTGTTCTCAACTCAACCCCGGCAGATCTCGTAGCCAGGGCGATAAGACCACACCCTGAGAATGATGTACTGCAGCTAACTGATGCCGATTGGCTCAGGTGTTAGGAACTTAGGAACCACCTGAGTTGTCTCCTGTTTCCCTTACCATCTTCTGCTTTCTTCGGCCGATCAACCCTGATTGCTTCTCTTAAACCCTGCTTCACCATCGTCTCGATCTCTACATCCAAAAGTGGTCTCTTTTGAAATCTTGCCTGTTTCTATCTTTCCATATGATCTCACAGAGCAGACCCCGTACCGCGTGAGTAACGTAGCCCCATCCTCTCTTGCGATCAATCCCTGCAGGCAAAAGGGCCAATAGCACCCACCTCTCATCGCAGCTTATCGAAGGATCCCCAAAACGCTGCTAGTGGTATTCCCACCATTTCCAGATCCTTCCGGAGGCAGGACATTCGCACCACACGCACCTTGTTGACTCAAATGGTTAACTGCACCTTGAGCATTTTAACTCCACCTCCATTCCTCTCCCAATTAACCAGACTGAAGACTGTGTTATTAGCAGGGACATCATCCACAATATGCTCACAGATTTGCCATTTGGCAGCTTTGTCAGGATCTCCCAATGCTTCGTAAACTGCGAGCCAGCTTCAGGTAGGTCTTCTGTCAACACTGTCTGCCATCGACTAATAGCAATTCCTGTTGGTGTTTTCCTTTTGGAGCTTCTCTGGCGGAGACTGTAGCCGTTCGCCACCGAATAATCTGCTAAACTCATCGTAGGGCGCCGAGCATCTCCTGTTGACCAACCCCAAGCCAGGGGATCAATGCATAGTTTCCTCAATGGAGTTCTGCCCACCCAGACCAGGTTCCGTCTGACTGTCGGTCCTCCCTACCCTCCCGTGATACGCGCCTGGGGTGGTTTTTCCCAGCCACAGTGAATGTCTCACTGATCAAGGTAAGCGCATTTATGTTCCATTCACAATGCCGTCTCTCGATTTTCCTGAAGCCACTGGCCAGGACCTCAAGCAGTTTCCAGACTGTCCCCATTCTCACTTTCCGCAGCATACCAGGTTTCGAGCGGGTCGACACCTTATGGGCCTAGGAGTCGGTTCCGTTCTGTGGGAATGACCTCGAGCAGTTGTGTCCGATGCTCCTCCTTGTTTATGAGACCGCTTAGCACCTCTCTCACTTTTGCCTAGGGACGCCAGGTTCCCAGCAGAGGGGACCACAGATCGCCTATCCTCACAATGCCTCTATGGACCCAAGCCTGTAAAGGTACCTCCCCCCTCCTTTACAATCTTCGAATTTCCGAACAAGATTTGAGCCATGACTTCTTCCTTAGACTTTGCGGGGGTGCTCACCTCTGGAGGTAGTCACTTCCAGGCTTTGCGCATCTCTCTCCAGAACCTGGATCTCAGTCTTTTTCTTCTGAAGGATGGGATGAACAGACAGGCCCACACATCCTGAGGCCTATTTAATCCTCACTCCTGTAACAATATCTGCTCCACTATTTCGACCCAATGCCCTTTGGAGGAGGCAGTCACAATCTTGCTGATCTGCTTGCTAAGGTGTGTTTGATTCTTCTTTGCTGGGTCCACCAGGCCTAGACCGCCCTGGTTGCGTGGGAAGGTTAAAATCTCCCATGCTACCTTAACTAGGAAACCTTAGCCCTTGGTTCCCACAAGAAGCAAGCCACCAATCACTTAATGGCCTTCAAGATTCCTTTGCGGATTTCCTTTACTGTGCTGACAAGCCACAGTATTGAGAAAAGTGCAATGTTGGAGACCAGCACCCTGCCAACGACAGACAAATGTCAGGCCGGGCCCCCATAAAACATTTGTAGCATGGCTGCGATCCGATGTTGCAGAAGCAGTCCTTGTGAGGAGACTTCCACATGGAGGCTAATGAGGACCCCCAAGAATCTTTCCTCCTCCCCTTCCTCAATCCTCCGCATGGCCCACTTAAGAGCTAGCTGAACTGTGCAGGGAGTAAAAACACAGACTTACTCCAGATTACTGTCGCTTACGATAGAACCGAGTATTCGGCCAAGGCACTTTTTAGCGTGTCCAAAGATGTCACAGAGTTCTCGCTGATGACAAACAGGCTGTCGGCGAGGGCCTTCGGTTTGAGTGGGTTCTGGCGAATCCTGTTCAACAAAACTTCCATCTGTAAGACGAACAGAAAGGGCGTGCAAGGGAGCTAGCGGGCAACCTTGCCGAAGCAACCGGGAGATCCAGAAGGGAGATGACAGGTGGCCATTTATCATTACAGCTGATGTAGAGAAGGTGTCCATCACTGTCATCCCATCTGTAAGAACTTTCTCTGAAGCCCATCCTCCTCAGCGTGCCACCCCACCTTTCCATACACAACCCATGATCTCTGATTGCACCACCTCCAATTCCTCTAAAGTTGCCACGATGTTATTAAAAATGGAGCCACCTCGCAGGAATGCCCCTTGGTCCCTGGCCACTAGGTCTGGAAGGTGCCTGCCCAATCTTAGTGCCAGTGTCTTCACTAGGAGTTTGCAGGACACGTTTAGTAAGGAGATAGGGCGCCAATTTTTGACGTCATCCTTATCTCCTTTTTTGAACAGGACAGCAATAACCCCGTACGTCATGCCCTTACCCAGCCTGTCACCTACCAGCACCTCGTTGTATAGTTCTACCAGTGCTGTTCCCACTGTCTCCCACTTGCTGAGGTAGAACTGGACAGTGAGCTTGTCTATGCCAGGGGATTTCCCTTTGGCTATGGATTTGATTGTTTGTGTTACCTCCTCTAAAGTCATGGGCCTGTCCAGTTCCAGCCTGACTGTGCCTGACAGTCTCACAGTCGTGTCCTCCCACATGTCAGAGAATTCTGTTAGATCATTGGTTGCGTCTTTCGGGGGGCGCCTCGTAGTGAGGATGTCCTCATAATAAAGTTTGCATAGCGTATCATGCCAGCTGCAGCACAGGCCACCGGGCCGACTCACCATCTGCTGCTTTTTTTTTTTTTTTTTTTTCACAAAAAAAAAAAACGCCGGTGATAGTGGCGCTGATAAGAGCAGACACCACTACCACTCGGGGAGAGGCTCCATCTACTGGTGGGGAGCATCACCTGCTGGAAAAAGGGTCCAGCGTCCCATATACAGACTGTAATCAGATAAACAATGTAGAGACCCCTGCCAGCATTGATTACCCTGGATTCCAGGGGATTGACTGAATAGGGCATTGGAAAAAAAAACAGAAATAGACCTGCCACTGAGCAGGTTGTGGTAGGAAAAAAAAAAAAAACTGAGATGAATGCTGTCTTCAGAAGATTGTCTGCACAGGATGCTGAGCTGCAGGGAGTAAACCTCTTCACCCTGTACCAGGCGCCGAATTCCTGCTGCTGAAGGACTGGTTTACCCCTGAATGCCTGATGGTCCACTTCGCCCTGTACCGGGCCGATTTTCTGTTGTTGAAGCCTCATTTTCCTTCTCCATTCCCGTGTCAGGACAGGGGTCCGGGAGGGACCACTGGGGGGCACCAGTGGTTCCTTCCGTTCCCTTGCCCATCCTTCCAAAAGGACCCCTCCTCAGCCAGTCTTCTGCCCTCCCCCTTTGCTGCGTCAGATGAGGTGGGATAAGGAAAAGGAGACAGACCAACCGGGGTCTATACGGAAGGGCAGAAGGGGCACCGGTTACAGGTATACTTCCACGGACTGTTGGGGGGGGGGAATGGGTCTGGGAATTCATTCGCAGGTCTCATAGGGATATTGGGTTCTATGGACAGCCAATCCTTGAATCTCAATCGATAGTCCCTTGGTACTTCCTCTCCGTGGCTACTGCCCTCCCCCCCTTCCTCCTCATTCCAACCCCCCGTCCAGCATACCTCCGCTACCCACCCCTCTCCATCTGTTTTTTTTTTTTTTATTAAGAGATGTGAGGAAGATTGTATTGCAGGATTTTATCATTTAGGACAGGATCTCTGCCAGGGAAAGGGTGTGGGGAGGGAAAGGGTCTGGGAAATCAGCAGGAGGGCGAAGTGGGAATGAGGGTTCTATGTTTGTCCAGTCTTTGAAGCTGAGGCGATAATCTCTCATCTCTTCCAATTCCCTGTGTCCCTCTCCCCCATCTCCGCTCCATTCTACTTTTGCAATCCAGCCTTCTCTCTCCCCTCCCACCCAATCTGTACAAAATGTTGTAATCCGTCTCCTAATATCTCTTGCTTGTTTGAAATGATCCAGTTGTGCTTTGGTGTCGAGCCATCTCTGTACGAGTTCAAAATGTACCTGCTGTTGGATCTGTTATGTGATTTCTGGCACCTCTACTCTCACCTTTTCCATAGCCAACGTACATCTCTGCCACCATAGTGCCCATATCACCGCCCTTCTTCCAAGTTTGTACATATTCTCTACAAAAGTCGGGGCTACTTCCTCGTGTGGCCAATGGCCGGCCAATATAGCTTGCCAAGACCAGGGCCAGGGAACTGTGGGTTCCATCTTTCTCCATATGCAATCCCACCATCGCCATATAAATTGAGCGATCGGGCATTGCATGAAGATGTGTTCGATGGTTTCCGCTCTCTTATGGAAAGGAAAAAGGCTCTGACACCGTTGGCACCATGGAAGCAGCAGACCTTTCTGTTCTAGATTAGTACGGTCGGTCAGCCAGTCATTTGTTGGCAGACAACGGTGGGCGATTTGCCACTGTAGAGAAGTGATTTTCATGGGTTTTACCTTTTGTCCTTGGAACCATTTGATTGGGGTTAGAAAAGAGCGATCCACATTTAGGTGTCTGGCCCATCTGTCGTTGATTATGTCTCTCAACCGTCTCTTGAGCCTGAGCATTTTGTAGGCTGATTTGACCGATAGCTGGCGTAGGCTGATGGGGCCTGCTTTGGGGCGTCCCCTCTGGTGGGGGGTTTCCCAAGCTAATTCTGTTGGGTCCAGGGCCAGGTCCTAGATTTATGTGAAAGGCTGCAACACCACCCTCTGTCCTTTCTCTTCTAAGACTCTCACTCGATAGACGGATGCTTTCTCTTTCCATTCGAGGGGGGCTCTGCTACCCTGGAGAGTGTCAGTTTTAGTGATTGTGTAGTGTTCAACCAAAACCACCTGGGGTGAAACCATATGTATCTGCCCTATCCTTTGAGGAGACTCCTTGCTGGCTACCCAGTCACCCTCCTTTAAGGAGGGGCCTTGTCTAAGAGTTTGATACCAAGCCAGCGGGATAGCTTCAATCAGGTCATCCAGATGTCTCTCTACGTGGTGGCAGTATCGTAGGATTCCTTGCATCTGGTCTCCTGTTTTCCACTCTCTTCTATCCTTATCCCAGAGGTTCCCAACTTTGAGCACTCCTCTCTTTACCCAGCTTTTCCAAGGCAAAGTTGAGCTGGTCATGATACAGCCACTTGAGTTAGTCACCCAGCGGTTTCCAAACAGGGGTTGTCGGTAGACTTCCTCCCAGCAGTCGGGGTGAGTTCTGTCTGGGAGCGGGAGTCTGCGCCAAGTTTCCAATAAGGATGGCCAGAAGTTGTTTTGACTTCGGTTACCTTCGTCTAACCCTTCCCTTTCACGGGGGAAATTGCGCGGGATTGTCCAGAATCGGTCCTCCAGCCATGTCAGCGGGTGAATGGATTGGGGGGTTTCTGGAGCCAGTCAGGCTAAATGTTCTAGAGCCAATATGAAAATGAGCTTCTTAATCCATTTTAGTCGTAGTGCTTGCACTTGCATGGCCGGGTCAATTACTCCTAGGCCACCCCCTGCCTTAGGTTGGATAATGGAATTCCACACCACGCGGCTGATTACGTTATTTTCCTCACCGTCTCCCCTCCATAGGAAAGAAGCCGCCTTTCAATTTTTCTCGCTTTCCTAGTTGTTTGCCACAGGGGCGAGGCTCTGCCTAGGGTGTAGGGTTCGAGGGCAGTTGGCCCCTTAATCTGGAAGACATTCGCCATGATTGATGTAAGCCTTGGGCATTGGGCCCGATTAAAATAAAAGGGGAAGTGTTCCTTGTATTAAAAAAAGGGCGGGAAAAAAACGAGGGAAGGGTGGGAACAGGACAAAGTTCTATAGCTTATCCTTGAAAGTTGAACAGCAGAAGCTTAGGGGAAAAAAGAGCAAACAATAAAAGATAAAAATATCGATAACTGGGTCCGTAGGACGCTACAGGTGAGACTTCAAACTCCATTCAAGGAAAGAAGGCGGTAAAGGCCATATATATTTTATATATATATACCCTTACCTTCGGGAATTGTGGAGTCATCCAGAAGTCGAACGCTGTGCGGAAAGCTGTGATGGCGTCTTCCAGGATACGATCGGGATTGTTTAGCAGGTCCAGACCCAGATGTGCTCCCACAAGCCCATAGTTATAATTCCATGACAGCTGGATGGGACCCCGACCATGGTAGGTCTTGCCAGGGGCACACGGATATTCTGTGCTCTCTTCGCAGTACAAGCAATTGGCAGTTCCTACACTGGGCCCTCCAGGAGCACATGCCACCTCCTCCTTGAAGTACAGACCCCTGTCCCCCAGCCACCGACCCAGCCACACGCCCATAACGTCCACAGCACAGGAACCACAGCCAAAATTACCAAGACACCCAGCATTGATCTTTTCTTTCTTTCTTTCTTTCTTTCTTTTTCTTTTTTTCAAAACAAGTGCTCCAATCTATTTGTGGGGAGCAGCACGTGCTGGGAACCGGGCCCAGCACACGCACAGCCAAAAAGTCACACAGGTCATTGCACTGCTATCCTTCGCAATGACCGAGCCAATTAAAGTTTTGGCTGAATGATAGACAGTGTCACGTCGTTGCCAGTTGGTAGTTGGGAGTTGGGAGTCAACAGATCCAGGGTTCAAATCATGATGGAGTTGCAGGAATACAGAAAGAGTTAAGGTCCTTAAGGATTTTTTCCCCTTTCCTGTAGGAAACATAAATTTTCAAGAGAACGAGTCGCTTGACCCATCCGAGCAACGAAAACACCACAATATTTCCAAGGTGGAGCATGAATGCTAGATACTGTGAAATTTCAAAGGGGAAATACGGAGGAGAGAAACAGATATACAGGGATTCAAAGAGTTCAAAGAGGCTCTCTGAGGCTTAGAGAGAAGAGAGAGAGAGAGAGCCCTGGCATGTGGCACGACCAGATTCTTCCTCACTCTGACCCCTTTGTTGGCAGTCGATGTTGCTACAAGTATGCCCGCGCCACATAGAGCGTTACCATGCACCATCCCCAATCTCTCTCTCTCTCTCT